TAATACAGAGTCAGCACTTAATAAAGGGTAGCTGCTATTATTATTAAATGATTATTTTCAATCTTTGTTATCCTTGGCCTTAGACACTTTATCTTCCCCTTTCACACTATACTCTTTATATAAGAAATACTGTCCACAATAGGTTTCAAATAATATTGCAACAATGAGTCATAAATTCCTATTTCCAATTCAGAGGTCTCTTCAGAGCTTCAGACCCATATATTCAAATACCCCTATAACATGTCCCCTTGGCCATATCAAAGGCAACTCTAACTTCATTAAGTCTAAGATAGCATTCATAATCTGCCCCCCCCACCCCCGGACATGTATCCCTCACTCTTCTTCACCTCCAGCAAAACACCAATTGTGAATGTCAGATATAGAGGGGTAATCTCTGTAACAGCCTTAGAAATTCTCTCATCTCTTTCCAATTCTACTTTCTCTAAAAAACACACCCCCAGTTTAAAATGTATCATCTCTCTTGAAAAAACCTCCTAGAAGGACAAACATTATATGTTCTCATTCGTTTGGGGAATATAAATAATAGTGAAAGGGAATATAAGGGAAGGGAGAAGAAGTGTGTGGGAAGTATCAGAAAGGGAGACAGAACATAAAGACCCCTAACTCTGGGAAACAAACTAGGGGTGGTGGAAGGGGAGGAGGGCGGGGGTGGGGGTGACTGGGTGACGGGCAATGAGGGGGGCACTTGACGGGATGAGCACTGGGTGTTATTCTGTAAGTTGGCAAATTGAACACCAATAAAAAATAAATTTATTATTAAAAAAAAAAAAAAACCTCCTAACTGGTTAACTTCCTCCTCCAAACTATTCTCCAAGCATCAATCCTAAGGCCTTCCAATCATTCAAAATACTGTACGCTAGTTAAAAGTACACTGTGGTTACACCTCCTATACTGCTTTATACGTAGAATTAAACAGACCTATGAGGATTCTCAGACCATTAAGTAATTATCTCTCTGCAAGCTTAAAATTATTTTTTTTTAAGATTTTATTTATTTATTCATGAGAGACACGGAGAGAGTGAGAGGCAGATACATAGGCAGAGACAGAAGCAGGCTCCATGCAGGGAGCCCGATACGGGACTCGATCCTAGGACTCCAGGATCATGCCCTGGGCGGAAGGCAGATGCTTAACCACTGAGCCACCCAGGCATCCCCCTAAAATTATTTTCTGGCTGTCTAAAGTTTGGTAAATTATTTAGCCTCTCCAGGCTTCAATTTCTTTATCTACAGAATGGAGGCAATAGCACTTAGGCTGTTGTCAAGTGTACAATAACATTAATAAAAAGCTTAAAAGCTTAATTCAGGGCTTGCTACTTACTGAGAGCTAAATAAATGTTAGCTAATAAACCAAACTGAGTATGACTTTCCCACTGCCTGAGTTCTGGTCCTCATCTCTTGCACAGCCTATTTTAGCATACTCCTAACTGGTCTCATCCACCTCCAAATGCCCAGAGCCCAAAGTATGGCATATTGCAGGCTTCAAGAAAAGTCAGATAAATCCGGTCTTCTTTAGTACTTTAGGATTAAGCTAAAGATCAGGTCCAAAACTCTTTGAGCTTGTCATATGATCCAGCCCCTGCTTATGTTCCTAATTTCTTCCACAGTAATTTCCCCCATTGTGCATCGGATTCAGATTCACCAGGACACTTGAATTTACTATACTACCACTTCTAATGGGCCAACTCCTTTCAACCTCGTTTTCTGTCTCCGATGCTTATGTCTGCACTAATAATCAAATTACTAGTTATCTAGATTTTACAGAAAAGGAAACTATAGCTCAAAGAAGTAAAATGACCAGTCAGGGTCACATAGGTGGATTGCTGGACAAGATATCCAGGTAAGTGTTCCTAGCACTATATTAGGACTTCTCAAACTTTTCCAATGAACACTCAGTTGAGAGAAGAGCTTTAACTCCCATCGTAGGGGTCAAGGGAGGCATAGACCCAAGACTCCTACCAGCCTGGAGTACCATGATTTAACTTCAAATATAATGAATCATTTTCAAAGTAAAAAATTTTGAACAAGTGAAGTCGAGGACAAGAAGCCTCTCACGATTTAGAGTTCCCTGTATGTTACACTAAAAGTATAAATTCGAGTTTGTCTGTTCTGCGGCTCGAAATCCACTCCAAAAAAACCTTCATCACTATTCAGAGGATATAATTAAAGACAGTATTACACAAATGATTACAGTTACTATCACTCTCCTATAACAAAATCAAGCATAGGCAGAGTGTTTAGGAAAAGGAGGAAGACAGCCCTGAGCACTCTCCACAGATCCCTAACCTAAAAAAGGCTGAAGACAAAAGGAAATCCAGGGATTTTAGCCAAATCTGAGTTTTCTTAGGATAACACTCACTTTTGCAGAGCAGGGCTTCTCAACCAGGGCACCAAATGACAACAGGATCATTCTCTGTTATGGGAAGCTGTCCTGTGCATTGTGGGCCATTTACAATCTACCTACTAGATGCCAATAGCATTCCACCCCCAGTTGTGACAAGCAAAAATCTCCAGACTTTGCCTAATGTCCCTTGAGGGCAAAACCACTCCCACTTGAGTACTCCAGAATGTATAGAGATATACACCTGGTATATCCCTGTACTGAGAAGTAAACATCAGGAGAGCTCAAGACTCTGATTCTAGACACGAAAATTGTGGGACAAAATAGAAGACCTTTTCCTTTACTTGCACTGGGCACCAGAATAAAAGAAGTATCTGTGGCTTCTCAATGCTAACTTTCCATAAAGAAGTAAACGGAGTGGGATTTGACTTAAACTCCTTACCAAAAAAAATCCAGGTGACACTTCAAAAACAACCAGACAGTTAAAACTGTATTCTGGGTGCTGGGGGACAAGACAGGAAGAATCCAGGGCTGAGTTTCTACTTAAATGACAATATCTGGCCTCTAGTATAACAACAAATTGATAAAAGGAGGCGGCTCAACATGACACCACCCTACTCTGACACTGTATAAATGAACATAACCTCCTCTATTCCAGCCAAAGTCCAACAATAAAGATCTACATGTGAACATTTAAACAGTCACAAGAAAAAAAGTTATTTTATTTATTTCACATAAAGGCAGAGCCTTCAACATCTGCAATTCTGAAAGCCTAGCTTTTACGTTTAATAAAATACAGCTCACCACCCTCGGCAGCTATTCAGCTATTAGCGCTCGCTAGTAAGTGAGAAAACAAATGCAGAATCCTGTGGAAGTTACCCAGAACAAAAGGTTTGGTAGGTGTGGGGTGGAGTTCACATGTGAACACACATTCACACACTTCCGTGTTTTTGGTACTTAAGAGTATTTTTATCTTTATCTTTAAAACAAGAAATTCAACTCTGTTTGATATATTTTACTATAACTGCTTTTAACCTTCCACAATTTTATGCTTTCCCCAGGAAATTATACTGGAAACTTTAAGTAGCCTCCTAAAGAGCTGGCTAAAATGAAGAATTAGATCATTCATATAAACTCTGGAGTGTCACAAGCCTCAAGTTTCCCATCTGTAAACTGGCATAACTAAAATTTACTTCTTAAAGTTGCCATGGCGATCAAATGAAGTCCTGTGTGTCCAATATCTGGGTGCCTAAAATACACTCAAGAAATGGTTACCGTTTCTACTGTTGTAACTATACTACCTCAACTTCTCTGAAACTGTTTCTTCCACAACTCTTAAGAACGGGTGTTTTGGCGAAAGAAAATGCTTTAGAAGCACATCTTACATTTACGTAAACACGAAAGAAGTATTATTTGTGATGATAAAGCAGAGTAGGGCAAAAGAAAAGCGCTCAGTGTTTTGAGAATTCTCGTGTCAATTACATCTGGTTGCCAGCAGCTCATGATATGAATCCGATGTTCCTTCCTCCTGCAAAAAAAAAATTTTTTAAAGGAAAGAAAAAAAGAAGGTAAGCAAAAATGGCAGAGAGAGGAAAAAAGAGAATCCAAGCAGTAATATGATAGACCGGAGGGAGGGTTACACAAGATCAGTAAATTCTACAATAGTATTCTCCTAAGTCTTCCAAGAACAACAGTAAAAGGTCAGATACCTTTCAAAGCAGCTGGGGTTCAGATTTCACTGTTTATCTAAGTAATAGAATTCCACTGGAAACAATTTTTTTTTCCCCCAGTAGCTAAGATCTACTGTGAGGTGAGTGAACACGGACACTTACAAAGCACCGCCATGCCATGTTAAGCTCTTCCTCTGGAATCACAACACGTTTTTAAAGTTCTATTCATTTGACAGTAACTCTCCACTAACATAAATTCAAAGAGTATCAATAACAAATTCAAAAATTCCGGACTTATCTAAGAAAATGTCCATTCCTTCTCCCAGAAACCTACCCAAATAAAAGGCAAAAGTTCAATTCTTTCTCTCTGCAGAAAATACGGGATAGATGGCTCAAATGAAGCGGCTGGGAAATACACTTCCACACACTTCTCTGAAGGGCCCCCCAAATGCATGCCATCAAGAGGTCACTGCACAGCTGGAGTGAAGCATGAGCATGCCCCCTGCCCCCCGGAGGCCCGGCCAAGGAAGAGCTGCACCGCAAGACTCCCACGGTTCTGGGCCTCTATGGGCTCCTGGGGAGGATGGCGGAAAACGTGTGTGGTGCAGCCCCAGCCCTGCGGCAGTTACAGCCAGGAGGGCGAGCGTGCCCCTTCGTTTTAGACAAGGGCCTGCCGAAGGGAACGGAGCTGACTTCCACAGCCCTGACTCCGAGGCCCACCCAGAACGCAGAGCTCCAGCTCCCAGGCACGAAGCGCGGACACACAGCCGCGAGGCGCCAGAAGGGCCAGGGCCAGGGCCAGGGCCAGGGCCAGGGCCAGGCCAGGGCCGGGCCGCCTGCCGCGTCCGCCCCGCCAACCTCGCGCGCCCACGCGGCCGCGTCTCAATCTCCGCCTCTGCCAAGCCGGGGCCGGCGCGGAGCCCGGCGGCCCGGCCCGGCCCGGCCCGGCCCGCGGCGCCCGCGGCACCCACCTGCACGCTCGGGAAGGCGGTCTTGAGCAGGTAGAACATCTTGCGGTTGGACAGCACGTCCCCGCTCGTCATCTTGTCCTCGGCTCCCTCGCGCGTCTTCCCCTTGGACTTCTCGTGGAGGACGTTGCTCTCGCGGACGCGCCGCACTTCGTCGCCGCCGCGAACGGCCGCCAGCACCGACACGGCCAGCATCTCGCGGAGGTCCACGGCGCCCCCGTCGGCCGCGGCCGCCGGCCCCGCCGCCCCGCCGCCGCCCGGCTCGCCGCCCAGGCCGAAGAGGCTGAAGCGGCCGGCCAGGAAGCCCGAGTACAGGTGGTAGAGCACGCCGAGCCCCAGCAGGCAGAACACGGCCACCCCTAGTGGGGACAGGCGGATGCCCATCGGCGCCATGGCGCGGGAGGCCGGCGCTCCGGGCGGCGGCCCTCACAGGCCTGCCTCGCCGCGCTCCCGGGCCGGGCGCCGCGCGTCCTACACTGGCGTCCGCTCGCCGGCGCCCGCGCGCCCCATCGCTCGCTGCCTCCCGGGCAAGGCCGAGCCGCGCCGACGAGCCCACCGCCGCCCTGCCGCGCGCCCAACTGCCCCGGGCAGCGCGCTCGGCGCTCCTCGGCCGGTCCGCGGCTCCCGCCTCCACGTTAGCCCACGGCGGCGAGGTGAAAGGGGAGCGTGGGTGTGTATCCGGGTTACGCGAGGGGGCGGGGCCACCCTGGAGGCGGGGCCACCCTGGAGGCGGGGCCACCCTGGAGGCGGGGCCACCCTGGAGGCGGGGCCACCCTGGAGGCGGGGCCACCCTGGAGGCGGGGCCACCCTGGAGGCGGGGGCTCCGGGCTGCGGAGCCGCGGGACGGCCCCGCCTCCTCTCGGTCCGGGCTTCGGGGTGGCCTCCGAGTGCGAGGGAGCTGCCGATTTAAACTAAATCTCCCTTTGAACAAAGATGTGCGGCTGACATAAAGTTTAGCCTTTATTTTGCAGTCTAGGCTTTCCATCACTCCCAGATTATTGAGGAACGGAGGACATTGCAAGCCATTTTCAAAGAAAGGTGCATGTGTTTTTCTCCGGCGTTCGTGTAGACAGAGCCTGTAGCTATAAATCGCTTCTCCGCCCTGGGAGAGGTGGGCCGTGGCCGGTACCGGAGAATCTTACTTGGCTCTCTGTTATGTTGATCTCTCTATGGTTTAATAAACGCGTGTGCCTTTATATCTGTACGTTTGTAGAGATTTTCCCCTATATCTTCAGCCAGAGTAAATTACGCCTTTATGCAGGTGAGAAACGTGGCTTGATTCTGGGCTTTCATAAGGAAGGGAAACGCTCAGGGCTTCTCTCACTTCCAAGGATACTTTCTTTACACGTACATTCCTCCCAGAGGTTGAGATGGAAGAGGGAAGGTCTGAGAAATCCCACTTGATATGAAGATGATCACAGAATGGCCAGTGAATCTAGAATTCGTAATCTTTGAGTCAGTGTAGGTTCTTCAAATGAACTTGCCCCTACCAGATCAGATATAACTGCCTTCAGCTATGCCGCTTACCTTAGCAGTCATAGTTAATACTTACTAAATTTTAAGAAGTATTATAATAAGCAGCAGTAAATTTATTATGCTTAATGAATATTAAGATGTGTAGTGTCATTCTCAACTGTCAGAATATTTATATAAAACTCAACTTAAAATGCAGCCTATTTTGGGATCCCTGGGTGGTGCAGCGGTTTGGCGCCTGCCTTTGGCCCAGGGCGCGATCCTGGAGACCCGGGATCGAATCCCACATCGGGCTCCCGGTGCATGGAGCCTGCTTCTCCCTCTGCCTGTGTCTCTGCCTCTCTCTCTCTCTCTCTGTGTGTGCCTATCATAAATAAATTAAAAAAAATTTTTTTAAAAAGATTTAAAATGCAGCCTATTTTACAGTTCATAGCCAAAAGTCATTGGTTTTAAATGGGCTTTAGTAAACATTAATGACCTTAAAAACTGCAAGTATACAGAATAGATTCTGAACATCCTTTGCTAAGCAAGTCCTTAGAGACAGGCTGACCTTCACTACCTCCTTAGAGTTCAGAACATCTGTAGAATTTGCATATGGTTATATAGATACAATAAACAAAGACTATTGATTGCTTGGTTTCCCTGGCAGCCATCTGTAACTAGCTTAAAAATAATCACAGAACAAAATCAAGTACAAATACAAATCAATGAAAGAACAGTCTCTGGAGTGTTGACAGCACCAGATCTTAAAGAAGTGGCTTTGTTCTCACAGCTTTTGGGAACAAATTCACAATTAAGCAAAGCCGCTTTCAAAAGAAATCTGAAAATGAAGGTCACAGGGTAATTATGGCAACCAAATCCAGAAATAAATATAAAGATCACAGCAGAAGTAGAAAGGCTCAAGTTCAACAGAGCCGCTTCAAACTATACTATGAGATCAGTAAAAGTTATGGGTTGGGAGTAGTTGTGAAAATATTAAAAGCATCATTAGAAAGTATGGATGAGGTTTATAAAAATAAACTGAATAATATTTTCCAAGGATATTAGAAAGGATTCCAGCCCCATTCACTGTGGCTTTATACAAAGCACTAGGGAGACACCCAGAGAGATACTGAAAGCTCTGACCATTTATACTACAGGGAAGGGATTAAAGTATTGAAGGAAAAGATACCCTGAAACAAATGGGTGAGTTTAAAGATCATAGTTCCAAAAGGGGCCCTAGTACAGGTGACCATAGAGAATAGGTTAATAAATACTGATAAAATATAACATGTAATTATTAAAATAAACGGTGTGTTGAAGAGAAAATGTAATTAATTACATGTGGGGCACAGATGTTGATTTAGAACCTTCACAGAAATTTGATTGCAAGAAACTTGCTTATCCAGTAACAAATTGTTACAGGTTCTAAAGAATGCATACAGGGGATCCCTGGGTGGCACAGCGGTTTGGCGCCTGCCTTTGGCCCAGGGCGTGATCCTGGAGACCCGGGATCAAATCCCACGTCGGGCTCCCGGTGCATGGAGCCTGCTTCTCCCTCTGCCTGTGTTTCTGCCTCTCTCTCTCTCTCTCTCTCTATCATAAATAAATAAAAATTTAAAAAAAATAAAATAAAGAATGCATACATACTGAGGGGCCTGGGTGGTGCAGTCAGTTAAACATCTGACTCTTGGTTTTGACTTGGATCAGGATCTCAGGGTCAGGGAATCAAGCCATATGTCAGGCTCCCTGCTCAGTGCAGAGTCTGCTAGAGGTTCTCTCTCCCTCTGCCTCTCCTGCTGGCTCTCACTCTCTCTCAAAAAGGAAAAGAATACATACATACCAATGAAAAATTATATGAAAGTAAATGTAAAATTACAGGTTTGTGAAATGAGGCAAACTGGACTTTCAAATACAACTTTTTTTTTTTTTAGGTATTGAAGAAGATGAGAACTGCTCATATTCTGTATAAACACTAATAGTAACAAGAATTGATACATGGTAGGGACACTTGGGTGGCTCAGTGGTTGAGCGTCTGCCTTCGGCTCAGGGCATGATCCCTAAGTCCCGGGATCAAGTCCCACATTGGGCTCCACACATGGAGCCTGCTTCTCCCTCTGCCTCTGTCTCTGCCTCTCTGTCGCTCATGAATAAATTTTTAAGAATCTTAAAAAAAAAAAAAAAAAGAATTGACACATGGTAGAAAGTTTTTAATTACTTTTTGCTTACCTGGCTTGGCAGACTCTACTTGCTACTATCTGCTTGTTTACACCTAGTAAATGCCACCTTTTGAAGCACTGCCCCCTCTCACTCCCACTACTAGAACTTTAAATAATTCTTAAGAGTCATTTTTTTTTTATTCCAACCTCCTTTTGCCATTGTGGTTATTATTTTAAAAAATAAGTTAAATATTATGTAAAACATTCAAATATGAATATAAATATAAAGCTGAAAGCTTTGAATGATTTGATATGGGTTAGCTGTTAAAAACAAAAATTACGGGGCAACTGGGTGGCTCGGTTAAGTGTCTGCCTTTGGCTCAGGTCATGATCTCTAGGTACTGTGTTCCCCACCTCTCCCTCTCCCTCTGCCCTTTCCCCCGCTCATGCTCATTCTCTCTCTCTCTCTCTCTCAAATAAATAAAATATTTTTAAAAAATTACCATTAACTTAAATGTTGGAGCAAAAACTGTACCCCATTGTGAGGAAAAAGAATCACTGAAGCTCAAATGTTTAAATCAGATTGCTTGACTTTAAGGAAACCATCCGGTCATTTTAGATAATGCATTACTCATGTGGCTAAAGTGTAGCTAATGAATATACTCAAAGACAACCCTTTGCCTTACATTAAAAGATAGACAAATGATTATATATTTATATATTTACATCTATAATCCACTCCTATATTGGTTATATCAGACAAAGGAGCTCTCCTTAAAGTCCATATGCTGGTACAATACCATACCACCTTTCTTTATGTTCCCCATTAGGTGTGAATAATACCTATTTATAGAACATTATTAATATCTTAAATGATGAGGATATTTTTATTTGTCTGAATGAGTCCTGACCCCAAAGTTTATCTTGTAGATTCTGTGCGCATGCACACGTGTGTGTGTGTGTGTGTGTGTGTGTGTGTGTGTGAAATTTCTACCAGCTAGTTTTCTTGTATGTTTTTTTCTTTTAAAAGAGCATTTAAGGGGGACAACGAAATTAATTAAGTGATCAGGCTAGCTGGACCCTAGGGAAAAGTGGTTTTACTACTTTTCCGAGAAAGCAAGAGAAAACAATTAATGGCAGTTCTTCGTATTTAAAATATTCCAAGAAGAGTATTGTTTGTATGTTCTTCCTATAAATGATAGACTCAGTGATATGGTGCTTGGTTCTGCCATTAAAATTCTCTCTAGCAGATCATACAATTCTTGGGCAATGGCTTTCATATGTTAAGATTTCATACGTCTGTTTCTAAAACATGATCTCTGTCCAGTCTTAAAATTGATTTTCCCAAAGATTTAGAAATACTCAATTTAAATGGGTAACTTTTTCAATTAATATAAAATAATGTGTTAGCACTGTAATCTTCTACTATGACTCTGATCTTAGCAATAATAACAGCACATACTTTAAATAAAAGCAATGTGGTAGGTAGATAAAATAGAAAACACATAATTTCTACCCTTTGAAATTGTAATCACTCTAATCCATGCAATCCACATGAAGTGAGGTATTTTACATATCTTTCTTTCTTCTGACCTTTTGCATATACAAACTCAGTAGATATTTATGAAAGTGGACTTTTAAAACCTAGTTTTAAGGAAATTTTATCTATTGTATAAAGTGTTTTTAAAACTCTTGAATTTAATAAATACACTAAGGAACCCAACAACCATTTTGTCTATCCAGAACCTTCATTTTATAGGCATACAAGTCAAATGAAATATTTGCTTTGGAGCTGTTAAGATGTCAAATATTTAATTTTTGTGTGTGCTCTTTATTAAAGCCAGTGCTTGGCAAAGCATCAATTCAGTTAATAATGTACATAGGATTCCCACCCTCTATTTTATTCTCTAAGTAGTCAAAGTTCATACTATACATTTTGCCTGCTATCTACCTGAAACCTGAGGTAAAATTTACCATCTTAAAACTTCATTTCGTTAAAAAAAAAAAAAAAAAAAAACTCCACAATAGAGTATCTAAAATT